CACATTTTAATTTTTCTCTGATGGGTAAATTTCAGAAAAATAATGTTTGTCACAGCAGTGAAAAGCATTTCAGTAAACAAACAATTCCAATACAATAAGTAGATAATCTATTTAAATGAACAGATGGATTGATTGATAAATAAATAGATACATACCAGAAAAAAAGTAAATAAAAAAGTAAAGCCGTTGTAGTTATACAGCATGGAAACAGACCGTTAGGTCCAACCAGTCCAAGCCAAACATAGTCCCACTCTAAACCAATCCCATCTGCCTGCTCCTGGCCCAAATCCCTCCAAACCTTTCCTGTTCATGTACTTATCCAATGTCTTTTAAATGTTGTAATTGTGCCCGCATCCACCACTTCCTCAGGAGGTTCATTCCACACGCAAACCTATTTTTTCATTTAACCTGGAGATCACCACCACCTCAGCTGAGGGGAGAGGTTGAGCTGGAGAGTTCTTTATGTTATCATCAGCCAGTGCGGGAATTGAACCCACGTTCAACCTGCATTACAAAGCAGCCATCCGGCTAACCGACCCCATCCCACAGGGTGAAGCAGAGTGTCACAACTTGACTGGGAAGAGTGCATTCACAATCATGCCTGCTGCTCCCACAAGCCTTCCCAAAATGTATAAAATCCTAATGAGATCACCAAGGTGACCAATCTTCCTGACTGAGCGCCACTCAGGACAAAAACAATTCACACTAGGCTTCATCATTAGCAGAAAATAATTCCATCCAATGTAACAGACATTCCTTAATGCAGTCCTTAATGGATAACAGCAATAAGAAAGAATTACCATACCACCATCATGCAACTGAAATTGTATCCTTTTTAAATCCATAAATACATACACACTCATTCACAAATAAGACAATTGGCTTGATACAAAGATTATGGGTAGAAAAATAACACAGACAGGGAACACAATCCTGAAGATCAAAAATAAGAGATAACACAGTATGGAGCTGGAGGAACACAGCAGACCAGGCAGCATCAGAGGAGCAGGAAAGTTGATGTTTCTGGTCAGGACCCTTCTTCAGAAATGGGGAGGGG